TGTGTGTGTGTGTTAGTATTATGTAACCATATTACATACTGTGATTTACTTATATTTACCTACATCAGTGATTTTATAATATGCTAATGTTCATTATCACTTTCTTCATCACTATCACTGTCTGATGAATCAGAAACACTAGACAACAATGGAATTTTGTTGCAGAAACTCCCTTCTGCTTCGCAGTTACACATCTCAGTACACTGAAGATTATTTCTCCTACACGTGCATGTATTATTTGAACATGTACATATTGAACAGGTACATCTGATAAGCTCAGCAACTGCTTCAGGGGCAGCCTGCTTTTCTGACAAGACAGGTCTCAATTTACCATCTTCCATAAACAAGCCCAGTTTGCATGGATCAGGGATTTATGTGTACAATAACTGTTGCTGTCATTGTTATGAGTGAATTTCCAATTGAATATTGCATTTTAATGACATAAACTTACAATATTAATGACAATTTTAGAAAAAATGGCGGCCATTTTGAAATGGCTGGCAACCCCCCTTACGTATGAAAAAAAAAATGTTGCACATACTTTTTTGATTTATCAATGTCTACTCTACATCATATCCAATTTTTAAAAAATATAGCAAAAAAAAATGCAACCTCTGATATTGCTACATTTCGGACTGGACTAGTGTGTCATCAGGGTCAATGGATTTGTCAGATTACTAATAAACTTTTGTTGAAGCCAAAATGAACTGTCAATCTCTATCCTGTCTCTATTTACAATCCAGAGCTGGTGTTATTCCAATTAAATGTATATTTGGAACAATCATTTTGTACTTACAAAACTCTGTTCTTTCAAAGTATGGTTGTCCTACACATGAATTAAAAAAACATTCCTCATGCATGTCCTTGTTGATCAACTAAACAGTTAGATTCAATATTTGAGTTGCATACATTGTACATAGAAAGTAACTATCTTTCAATAATAAATTCTCAGGGGCCTTGTATATCAATAAATATTCATTGTACAGTATTTATGGTACAATACATAATCTGTCAACTGGGACTAGAGGTATTAGTAAGATAGGGATCAGTACCTGTATTGCCTGAGGTTGGTTCAATGAGAGTACACCCTGGGTTTAGTTTGCCCTCTTTCTCAGCCATCTCTATCATCCGCAGTCCTATGCGGTCCTTCACACTGCCACCGGCGTTAAAGAATTCACACTTCACCACTAAAAAGAACAAATAAAAATATAAGCAAACTAGTGGGCACTTGGAGAGTTTATACCTCCGCCCACATCATAAGTCTCCTCAGTATAAATTTCCCCCGCATATTGTCCCAATAAGAAAACTCCTTGGGATTTGAACCCGGGGCTGGTAGTGTGGAAAACACTTTCTAACCACTACACCAAAGTGTTTTCACATATATCACTTTGAAATTAATGGTCATATGTTTGTTTACAATTTACCGGCAAGCCCTTATTAGCAGACGTCACACACACTATACGGTAAACAGTTATATAAGGTTTTTAATCATTGTTTTTATGATAAAAATTGTTTTTTGTTGATTGTGACCTTGACCTTTAACCTTTACCCTTCAAATGCTTTGAGATCTTCGGTCATGGAACATTGTGACCAAGTTTGACAAGTTTGTGACTAAAACTATGGGCTGTAGACAAATAAATTTAAAAAAAAAGTTTTTCGTTGATTGTGACCTTAACCTTTGACCCTGACCCTTCCAAATTTAATCAGATCTAGATCTTAGGTAAAGGAACACTGTTGCCAAGTTTGACGAATTGCTGATAAAAACTATGGGCTGTAGGCTGTTGACAACAAATATGCCAACAGACAAATAAATTGAGGAAAAAATGATAATCCAATTCAGCTTTAATGAAGCGTAGGGATATCTTCTCATACTTCCTAAGCAAACAAATTGGCAGGTCTTCCGAACTAAAATCCTTAATGATGGAACCAAACGGACGCAAATTGATGAAAAATACAACACATTTTAAGAAAAAAACTAAGGATTTAATTGTAGTAAACATGTAGTAGTCAAATAAATAAATGAATAAATAAACAAACAGGGGAAAAAACATGTAACCTCCTGCCAACTTCGTTGGTGGAGGTAATGAGATCTTTACTCATGGAACATTGAGACCGATTTTGACAAATTCGTGATCAAAACTATGGGCTGTAGACAAATAAATAAAAAACTGTATGCCGACAGACAAATAAATAGCTAAATAAAAAACCAGGCGAAAACATAACCTCCTGCCAACTTCGTTGGCGGAGGTAATTATTATTCACCAGTGGACCACTTAAATATACAATACATATTATGTTATAATAAAAAAAATGATAACTAGTTATTTCAGGGTTCGTACACATTTTTGACAAAGAAAAAAAGGAAGGACTTTCCAAGATCTGATTTTTCAACAATATTTTACACCGAAGATGATTCTCAAATTCAAGGACTTTCAAGTACTTTCTAAGGACCGTACGAACCCTGTTATTTCTAATCAAATTAAAATTGAGGAAAAAAAAATTACTTTCAATTTTATTATGACTCAACCTAAGGGGTCGTTCACAATTATCCACATTTTCACAAGTGTACAAACATTACTCTTTTTCAGTACCCACCTCCCTCCTCTCTGAAAGTGTACAAACAATTTTGTTTGTATAGTCAAATAAAGCAATGTACTTCGTTGCTTAAAAATGAATATTACATACCATTATTTATTTATTATTACCATACAAATTTGTCTACACCCTCCCTCCTAGCGTACTGTTATATAATTGTGAAAATGTAATATAACAGCTTTGACCTTGTAAGCAAGGATCTCAATGTCCTTGCAAGACAATTGCTAAAAAGCAAATTGGTACTGAACGTGTACTACTCAATCTTATGTTCCACTCCTTTATTGTTCTTTAAATGGTGAACTTATGTTCACTTACACATTTCGCACTTGAGTCCCTCAGATTGTGCAATGTTGTTGATTCTGACCAGTGGAGTGTGACCAATCTGTTGGAGGATGTTTGGAAATATCTTGGGTCTGGCCTCCTTGCTGAAATAAATTGAAGTTACAAAAATCATAATGAATGAAAAAAATAAATGAAATTCAAATGAATTTTCAAATCATTGGCCACGCAGCATAGGCAGCAATGTAATTTAGTATGTCTTCAGTTGAATGTATTCCCAGGAAACTGTATATCATGTATGTACATGATGTTGAATAAAGATCTTGCGACTGGAGTCCAGTTATAATGCGATTTAAGAGTATAAAATTTGGATCTTTTTCTTTTTTGGTACATTTCAAAGCGTATTATAATTTATGATATTTTAAGCTGAGGTGAGACTTTATTTAGACCTTGTTTAGCGAAACCCGCCACCTGTCAATAATGATTTCGAATAAAAATAATATTTCATTTTGGCCAATTAGAGCACCCGCTGCCATAAAAAAATGGAAATCAGGAAAACATGCAAGTTTTCTTTATTTTTATTACGCCCTCCGCTGCCTTGAAATTTCCAAAAATAAGATATTTCTTCTAATTATATAAATTTAAAGCATTTTAACCATCCGATTACTACATTGTTTACATTTACCAATAAAATTTTATTTTTATTTTCTCCTCCATGTGGATGTTTTTGGCAAGCAAAACTATTTGCTAAATAGAAACATTTTATTTTCATTCAGAAAACAACAATTTTTTTTCCACCCTCCTCTGACGTTCTTTACAAAAAGTAGTCCGCAAAACAAGGTATAAAAAAGTCTCGCCTAAACCATTAGTTATCTTATGGAATTTGGAAAACACTAAAAAATAAAAATAAAAATGTAATTGCTCATTACTATTGTTTTGCAATGCATGTCAATGCTATTCATGAACCACTACATGCATTTTATTAACAAAATTATATATTAAGCAACAACAAAACACAAATCAAACAATTCTATTTTCCAAGATTTACAACATTAACAGTTTGCTATGAAAATTCTCTACTTACCAGCAAATTTAAGTGTCTATCATGAAACATACAGGAATGGAATGTAGGATTAATTAATTAATAATTAATTAATAATGATGGACTTATTATTGTAATTCTTAATTGGAAATCATTTAGCTTACTTTAATAATATGCTATGAATTTTATTTTCTTATTACAGACAGTATTATTACAGTATCAATGTTTATTACTGTTGCTATCATTAAAGATTATTTTTTAAGTATTTCCTACTTTTGTTAGTCCAATTTTATGCTGATCCCTTTATACAAAATGCCTTATACCTTGACAACCAGTCTCACTACGTAGGTGGTCAGGGGTTTCAATGTTTTAAATAATTTTGTATTATTCTTTATTCATATCCACTGTACCATGGTTTCTGTAAAATTACATTATATTTCTGTGTAAAGTATGCCAACTTTATTTAATGCTATTGAACTATAAAACCCCAACGTATTCATTGTATTCAACTGACTACATGTACTATATTATTGACAGCATTTATATGGCCCTATTTCAGAACTTTTATTGGTTGTACTGTAAATCCTTGAATAAGTGCTGCTCTCGAGTAAACGCCTCTCTCGAATAAGGGCCATACTGAATCCTCCAACAATTTTATATGCCGCACTTATTCAAGGATTTACGGTATATTTATTACCTATAACCATGACTAACCATTCAAGAACCTCATTAAAAAATGTATTGTACAAGTAACAGATTGCAAGATACTAACTTGTATCAGCTGCAATTAAATATTCTGTAAATAATGTTTTACATTTAAGTACACATGTCAATGTTTTCACATTTAAAACAGATCCTTGACAAACAGTATGTTATTATTAACTTCTCAATTTCTGTAATGATACAAATATTACACCTCATCTACTATTTGTATCTTCTTCAAATATCAGATTAAAAAAAGCAAACAAATGAATAAATAAAGAAATTAATCACTTATTAATTTTTGCAAATTGGTAATGACTTACAAATTTTCATGAACATGAGGGCTCTTTTCTTTGTTTTTTCCAAGGGTCCAAGTACAACGTGAAGGGGCATCGGGACGAATCCAATCTGATGAATTACTCATGATGTCAAATGTCTCCTTGCAAACCGAGATCTATTATACTGTAGAAAAGGAGGAGTTGGTTACTTAAATACAAACATTTAGCAGATTCCACAAACGTCTGGAGCCACCACTGGACAAGCAAAGTGCTTTGAGCCTCAACATTTTCAGCATTCAAATGTTGAACATCCAAATCATTTTAATAAACACTTTTCTCCAAAATTACCATTCACATTAACCATAGAATTTACCAGAACAGCAATGTTATTGTTATTCTAAAATATAGACATTTTTTACTAACTTATAGGCCTACTAACTACAAAGTTGGAATACTCAGTTTTTGAAAAAAAGAAAAAAAGCTCTGGCCAATTATGCTGTAGGCGATGAAATTATCATTGTTTTTAATAATAAATGTTAATAAATAATTTAAATAAAATGGTAGTGCAGCAGAATGACATTGTCTTTGGAATTATTCTCTCTTTTTTTTTCAAAAACAGACATCACATACATATTTGGAGTAATTTTATGGTAAGTGAATATATTCATAAATAATTTATAAATTTGGTAGTCAATAATGGTAGTAGAATATTACCTTGTTTTTGAAATTACTATGTTAATATGATGAGACAAACAATAAGTATGTATACCCTCAAAACTCATTGATTACATTATGCAATAACAAAGATGAGGGACTGTACTGTAATATACCCAGACTAGCACACTTAAGCACAGCTATGGTAGTCGATCTTGTACAGTGCCCATCCCACCGAATAAATAATATATTGAATTGTGCAATATTTTTCAAACAAACAGTGAATAAATGTATTGTAAGGTGATGAAGCATGAAATTGCTTCATCTGTAATAAATACCATTTAATATTATCAAGGGCATAGATTCCACAGCAGGGCGTGCTTTTAATATAGCTCTGCTTGTAATAAACCTGACTGGAGATCACATTTTGTCCAACTCTGCTAAACAATATAATTTATAAAGTCATTAAAAGAACTCCACTGATAATTTTAATTAAAAGATACAACACTTGGTGAAGCTGGCATCGAATGTTAAATAAATTACTTTTTTAAAAGTGCTCATTATAACCCGTTATCAAACTTTGATTTTAAAAAAAAAGCAATTTTTATTTTATTTCTTTATTCTGAATATGAACATAAAACAAAGACGACAAGAAACATCATAATAAAATGATAAAAAAACACAATAAAATACCGAAATTGGCAACTTATTTCCATTACGGTCCTTATGATACAGTAAAAATACGACTAAATAAAAAAGGCCACAGTATTAACAAAGTATATCAACTACACATTTATGTTATATGATCCCTCGTTTTTAAAATTTTATTATAAAAAACTTTAGTTTCTTTTCTTTAGTGTGTAGATGGAAGTTGCATTTTGAACTGTAGATGGCAAATGATGCCATTCATTTATCCCAGTTTCAATGAATGTGAAGCGGCTTTGTCAACCAGATTTAGAAACGTTTAATGAAATTCTGTCGGTAGCAAATCTGGTATTGTAATTATGTGTTACCAGAATGAAACAGTGGAAATATTGTTAATAATCTTGTACATATGATACACTTATACATTCCTTAACCCTGAGATCAATTTAATTTAGAGAATTCATTATGATCAACATGTGGACGAGGTCCGAGAACGAAGATAAATCTAATAATTTTGTCTTGGGATGTCTGAAGTTTTTTGTTGCTTTATCAAGGCCAGAATACGAAATGCAACTTCCATAATCATAGTGGCATTGAGTCAAAAATAACAAAGGAGTTTAAATGCATATGGAATGACAAAATTGATATATTGATGAGATATAGCTTCGTAAAAACCGTACAAAGTTAAAGGAGCCATTACCGGCATGCAAAAGGGGGTGTGCACCTAAATTTCAAAAGGTCATAACTTAAAAACCACTTGGAAATTGGAGCTGAAATTATGGATTCTTTTTTTTGACATACCAGGGTATTTTTAGAATTTTTTAAAGGAAAATCCAAGGGGGTCACATTGGAACTTTTAAATTTCTGGCTGATATGAGCCCCAAATGACCCTTAATTACATTTAGTAAAAATAGAATAAGGTACAAGAAAAGAACTCCAACTCATTGATATTCCTCCATGACAGTATGGTTGGATGATGTAATATTAAAAAATAAATCAATAATTGCAAACAAAAGGGTGGAAAATGTCCACTAAGTACTACAGGGTCAGATGTTGGAAAATTTCCACTAAGTACTACAGGGTCAGATGTCAAAAGTTGCACATTACTAGCATTTACATTCAATTCATGTAGTGCCTGATTAAAGAGATTATACCACTGGCAGACATGGGTAAAGATAAGCAGGAAGTTTCATGAGATAAAAAATGTCTGGGCGATTTTTAGAAGCACCATGGACGTGGTCTTATCCCACCAACGAAGCACTCTTCACTGTCCAGACACACACGTCATTGTCATGACATTGCACGTCATTGTTTACCCGGACACAGTTGACCACAAAATCGAGCCAGCACACAAAATTATTTTGAAAATAGTAGTACTACTAGTAGTACTACTACTAGTACTAGGCCTAGTAGTAGTTATAGCCTTTTACGACAAGGTCAACACAAATGACCAACAATTAACACAGGCCTAAAATAGCTCCAAGGCATCCTGTATTTGGACATTTAACTCCATGTTACCAATCACATACATACATCAATACAGAAACACACCTACTCACTGGCACTAACCCAGTTCCTTACGGTAATCGGAAGTTGAATTGAGAGAGGTCTGTGATGATGAGAATGAGGATGAGCAGATGGGACAGAAAGACGTCAAGTAGATACAAAATCAGTAAAGCTGTATGTACAATATTAACAAGTTTATAAGCACCCAAAACTTACTACTTACATGTTGTTAGAACGTCCACGCCGTGCTGTTTCCTTGAGTATTAACACGTTGAATGGAAAAAATGGATAGAGAAAAGTGCGCATGCCAACGAAGTGCAGACCAATCAGAAACGATTTCAAGACTGACCTCCCGCCACGCCTCCATCGAATAAACCCCAGTCCTTCAAATCCCTTCTAAACAATAAATGGCCATGACAACATACAATTTTTACTATGTCGACTTGTCAAGATAATCTATCTCGCCATGACAAAATACAATTTTTATTATGTCGACTTGTCAAGATAACCTATCTTGCCATGACAACATACAACTTCTATTATGTCGACTGGTCAAGATAATCTATCTCGCCATGACAACATACAATATATTATGTCGACTTGTCAGTATAATCTATCTCGCCATGACAAAATACAATTTTTACTATGACGACTTGTCAAGATAATCTATCTCGCCATGTCGACATGATATGTATATTATGTCGACTTGACAACATAAATTATCTTGACAAGTCGTCATGTCGAATGGCACTTAGGTGCTTCCGTACCCTTGTCACTCCTGGTCTCACTATAATTATTTTAGGATTGTGGAAACCGAAAAATCAAATCAGGAGGCTACAAATATAATGTGCATACATTTCAGTGGGGTTTTTGTGGAGTGTACAAAAGTGGACCAACCGGTATCCCCGAGATTCAAGTGGAGGACCTTCGATTTTTTTCTTTGCCATGGCAACTTCAATGCCCAACCAATGGTCTAACGATAGATTACTGGTTGGTTAAAATACTGTATAAATTAAGATTTCCTTTATAGGCGCCTACTACAAATAACAAATTCTATATTCTGTACGTTCTCGACTGTCTACAAATGGGATATTTTCCGATGTATGCATACGGTTCTGCATTTTCACAATTAAATAATTGTATAATCCTACTACTATACACTGAGACAACTATAGTATACTTGTATAGTTGTCTCAGCTATACATAATTTAGTCTTCATATTTTCTTTTCATTATTTTTGTTGGTAATATAGATATCGAAAGGATACTTTCTGTCATGACTTTCCAAATGTAGTTCAAAAAAGTAGGCCTAGTAGTACTGGACGTATAATCGGTTAGGGGTCCATGATTAGCAGTTGCCAAATGGTTTACTCTCATTAAATTTAATGTAAACAATATTATACAGTATAAACAAGTACATTTTGCACCTGGTCTTCCATATGCTTCTGTCTGAACATGTTTTTTTAGTCACACAGATGCTCAAGTGGTTTTCTTCATTAGTTGATGGCGATAACATAATGCTAATGAAGATTCATTGTCATTCATGATTTTATTAAAAAACAACTACGATTGATAAAAATGTTCAAGGTTAGTGGTTTTCTTTATTAGATAACGATAATATAAATGCTACTGAAGTTTCATTCATGGTTTTATATATATTTTAAAAAAACAATTACAATTGATAAAATGTAAGAAATATTTAAATTTGCCACATACAATTTTGTAACACTAAATTCAACTATATTACAAGCAACATAGGAAAATGGAAATACACAAGACATTCAATAAAAAAAAAATAAAATAAACATCACGACGTTGATAATGACGATGACGATGATAATTACTATTATTATGATCACGATGATGGGCTAACCATGTCCTCACCCACTTAGCTCATGTAGGCCTAGGTAAAATCCCGTCGGGAAGAACTTCCCCCCCCCCCACGTCGGGGAGAAAAAGCACAATTCGTCGGGGGAAAAAAAATATGCAATTGCTACATATTAGTAGACTCTAAAATCGATTAAATAAGCCTTTGAAGTCCTGGACCACTTTCCACACCTTTTAATCGAAGCTCGACCACACACCCACTTTGCTTTCCTCTGGGAAATCTTGCCAGTCGCCGGGGTCATCGCCCCCACCCCCGCCGGGCAAATCCTGGCGCAACCCCTGTATTACAGTCAATGACGACAGAAAGCTCAGGAATGTTTGATTTTAACAGGCATACTGAGACCAATGAATGCTCACCCACAATTAACATGCAGCATCATAAGATGGAAATTTAATCAAGATTTAACAAATGTTTGGAGGAAAATATTTTTTAGATATATATTTAATTAAAACAAGAGCTACTATATAATTAAAATACACAATCTTTTAATAAAATCAGACACATTAAACATGGTTTTTCTGTTGCTTCATTTAAGAAATTACTCAAAACTTGTTTTCCACCAATAATATCCACGGCACCAATTATACTGCACCTCCTTTGTTAATGATGCTATATAAATTTTTATATTAATACAATAATTATAATAATGAAATAAACTATAGATGTGTTTAAATGTCAAAAGCACAATAATTCTTTTGCTGCTGTAAACATTTCATATGTTACCTACATAAATCGCTGAGTTTCATTTCTGCTTTCTAAAGGGCATATTGCAATCAGAAATTTAAAGTTATCAAAAAACGTCAAATATCGCACTGCGGGACAAAGCTCGTTAATATTGAGGTTGCTGAGTATGAGGTGAAGAAACAACCTCAAAACCATCATAACAAGAAATATTTCATATAAAATGATAATTCCATATTCGTTTTTATCATTTTATTATTTTAACATAAATTTTATTTTAAAAATAATCTTTAATTCATACACAGTAATATTCATATTGCAGTAAAAAATTAGGCCTATCCTTAAAAATAAATAAGCATAGGGCTATATTTATTGATCTATACGAAAATACAGTTACAGATTTATTTATTTAAACAGCTACGATAACAAAATTTACACATAGGATAAATTTGGAAGTAGCTGTATACACAAATTGAATAAGCTACAGTAATTGCGGCATTTTTTTTATAGGAAATATTTCTTGTTATGATTGTTTAGTGAACTTGTAGTCAGGAGGAGTACAAACAAATACAAACAGTAACAGACCTCCATGGATGGCAAAATGAACAAAGGAAAACAACGTAAAAGATTAAGAGATGAGATCGATATTTATTGGGGAAGAGTGAAATGGTGCAACACAGCAAGAGAAAAAGATTGATTTGGCGTCGACAATCCTGCAACATTTGTCCAACAGTGGACCAACAATAGCTGATGATGAAGCCTCTTCCCCAATAAATATTGATCTCATCTCTTAATCTTTTACGTTGTTTTCCCTTGTTTGGTTTGCTATCCATGGGGTCTGTTACTGTTTGTATTTGTAATGCTCCTGACTACAAGTTCAACAACCAGAATGAAAACCATTTTTACCATTATTGTTATTAATATTCATCCATAACATATAGTTTTCCCATACAAAGTGCTACTGGGACAGAAACACAGCAGGACTGGTTGCCTACAATCTTCCAATATGAAGAATGCTAATGTGAAATAAGAATGGAACTCCCAGTATGTAGCTTTGGTTTTACTGTTGTTTACAAGATTTAAACTGACTCGAGACAGGTTTTGAACTAAGGGCTACAGAACTGGAAGTATATTACAGCTACAGCTTCATTAAGCCCATGCTCCAATGCCAGTGCCAAGAATATCACATATTTACAGCAATAATATGTAGTACCAGTCATGATCAAAATGTCAACATCAATTGCAGCTTTGGTCCATAAATTTGTGGAAATATCAAAGTGCACATAAATACCATTAGCTCATTGTAATTATATGCCAATACTTTTTCTATACATTTCATAATAATAAAGATAGTAATATTGATATTGGTAATAATAATAATAATAATAATAATAATAATAATAATAATAATAAAATTTTCTATATTGTAACATTTGCAATATTTTGTTATAAATTCTTTAAATGGCAGGTTCACCCACTGTTGGATGTGACTTTCAAAAAAAATTTAAAAAAAATAAAATAATGGTAATACCAATAACAATCTTATGTTATCCCAACTGCCTGCTTTCTATCCCCGAATCAACTTAATTGGGAAGTTCTCTGTGATCAGATGATCATCTTGTAACACCACCACTACATTCACTTCAAATTCTGGAAAAAAAATGTATTTAGATGATAATAAAAAATCAATGATATGAGGAAGCAATAATGTATTGCAGGTGTTGAAGATAGTCATTTCAGCTGTTATCAGTTGCCATTTGTGACCACTTGGATGGGGAGAGAAAGGTTACCACCATGAGCCAAAGGTCAGCAATGTGTGGCTCAAGCTCTGTCCACACTATCAATTCTTTTGACAAAAACTGTTGTATGCCCATATATAGTCATGATGTGCCCATATATAGTCATGATGTGCCTATATATGGTCATGATGTGATGTCATCATGACCATATTTAGGCATGTCACATGTTTTTGTTCAATACAATTTGACAGTCTGGGCAGTGCTACAAAATCCTGGTAATCTAAAGCCAAGTTTAAAAATATTTATCTGGATCTAGTTGAAATTTTAATGAAAAATAATGTACAAACATAGCTTACCTATTTTAAAATTACTTGTAGCAAGTGTTGGACAAGTGAACAACCGGGGAAACACCATGTAGATTGGAATAGTTAGTCCGCGGCACACATCCCCCTCTCCAATTTGGATATTTTGAATCTCTGTAGCTGAATAATAAAAAAAAAATATGATTGCAATTTTATCAATGTGCAAAATAATCAATTTCAGATAAATATCCAGTAATGTTAACAGAGCATACACAATGCTAACATATTCTCTGCACAAACAGGGTCAGTTATAAAAACCATTGGTTCTGAATTACACTCTGGTTGCTTGAATTGATGGTTGCATGATTAATTGATTTGTAGAATAAATGATTGATTAAATGACTGAGTGACTGACTACAAATGAATGAGTGATTACAATCTATTAGTGAGGGATTGATTCAAAGATTAAATGTTGATGTTTTAAAAATCAAATCAAAATGTTTAAAAAAAAATTGTTTAAAATCGTCTTTTAACAGGATGAAAATCCAATCAGTAAAAACACTGCTATCCAATGGGGCTGTTGATTGATTGACTGATGATTGATTGATTGACAGTACTTCTTACCATCTCTAGCATAACCTTCTGCACAGCCGCATGTCTCAACCCTTACAAGCTGTATTTCAATAGATTTGATTGGTGCATCGCAATGGTCTACAACAAGCTGACCAGTGAGTGGCTTTGAAATATTACAATGAGCTGAATCCAATCGACCTTTCACTAGGAACTTAGGAAGACTTGACTTCTAGTTAAGTAAAAAAAAAACATTATACATAATTACAAGAGGAGTGAATATAATGACCTTTGCTGTGAACTTTGCCTAAAGTAACTGTCACATTTTACTAAAAGTACCCAGTTTCTTATGATAACATTGAAGAATCATTTATTGATTAAACCATGATTAAACAATCTTAATATCTTAAAATAAATCTTTTGAGATCATCCCTTAAAATTCATAATGGAATTCAACTTACATCTTTGACATTTTGGAGTGTTTCTGGTTTAATAGAAAATGAAACTGGATTAGGGATTATCTTCTCTTTTTGTAGCTTGTACTCGATGATAAATTCAATATTTTTTGTCAGATCTTTGGCAAGTAGAGGGCGCTTCATTTCTGCCTTTATAAGATACTGTCATAAAGAATAAGAAAAGAAATGATTTTGGTAAAATTTCTTTGATTTATCAATCTGATTACTCAACTGTTTACATCACAACATTACATGTTTTATAAGTGATCTTCAGCCCTGTATGTACAGTGTTCTGTATTTCTCAACATTACTTTTTCATATTTACTACCACACTCCCAGCACCTCACCTGTATGTTGACAAACACCCCATGGTATGTTTCATGAAGCGCTTTATTTGCCTTGGGTTTCAATGGAACTTCAAATGGAATCTCAGTCCTCCCTGATGGAAGTTTTCCTGGCTTAGCAACCACTAAACTATAGTTGAGTAATGTTATAGGCTGTGAAGAATAACAAAATATTTTATATGTACTTGTATCCATGAATGCCATTATCAAGTAGTACGGTGCATCTGCTTCATGATGTTTTGTCATGTTTTCTATACAGTATGATATAAAATAAATCAAATCTTGAAGTTGATCAAATCAACTCTAATCAAAAATGATATATTACAGTACATCATTAATTTCAGTGGCAGATCCACCGGGGGCGAAAAAGGGGTGCTCACACCCTTCCAAACCAACATTCCCCTGGACCCCAAAATAGGTAAGAGGACACCCAAAAACCTTCCTCTCTCGACCATAGGTTTCATCCTCTTTGGAACTTCCGTCTTCAATTGCCTCTTGTGCCACCCCAGGAAAGCAATTTTGGATTTGCCACTGAATTTAATTTCCTGATTCTGGATGGCTACACCAATGTGGTTCACTATACCTTTAGAGAACTGTAAAAGGCTTCAAAAAGTCCAACACTTTTAGAGCTCAACTGTAGTGTCACTGTCCCTTCAACTAACAGAGATATTCCTTGGTGTTGCAAGTCACCCTTACTTTCAATTACTACAATACCATTCAACACCTCCTGCAAATAAGAATAATTTCCAATCTAACAGTGTGCTGTTACGATTTTATTTTTTAAAAAACAACAATAGTACCTTACCTATTATTAGCATAAACTGAGCAATTTATATTAATTTAAATGATAACACAGAGTAATTGACAGGTTCAAAATTATTTTATATAGATATAGGCCTAGTTTATTTTTGTTTTTGTTGCATTTAAGTTTTTGAATGAACAGATGACAAAATATTGATTAAAATTATACAAATGTGTGTATTTAGGGAATGATACTGCAGCACATAGCCACCCTCCAAGTCAATGTAACTGGGATTGTCTGTGATGATGATGAGAACTGGGCCTCGTTGACTGTGGCCGAGTTGACTTGTGGCCGAGTTGGATCGAATTCATGTCTAGCTAGAGGAGGGTCCTCCACTCCAGTCCTATGCCTAGCTAGGCTAATACAAATATAAAAAAGGAGGGAGGAGGGTGTAGGGTTAATATCATTAAATTTTCCGGAACTAGGCTAGACTTACACCTTCAGTATAAACTTTATTGACCTTCTTCAGTCGAACATCGAGAGCCGCCATCTCCACCTGTAATATATTGCTTCTAGCCTAGGCCTAGATTTTTGGAGTAGGTTTTTGGTGTGGTGATCACTCGAGCGACTCCTGTTTGTCGCCCTCATACATACGCTCGAGTTAAGGTAGGCTAGGAGAGGATCGGCGCATTGATTTATATAGTAGAGATCAGTGGTCGAGATGAATAACACTTATTTCATACTAGACTAGGCCTAAGCATAATTCCTAGTTATGTTGTTCAAGAAATTTGTGTCATTATCTGTTGTTTCACGATATTCTAGTTGCAGTTTTGATCAAAAAATCCTTGAAAAAATTGCATGCCCATTAAGTAAAAAAAAGTTAAGGTTTGTATCATCCCATGGCCGTGAATGGCATTCGATCATGTCTAGCCTAGGCCTAGGAAGGATAGGTAGGCCTAGGTGTAGTGGGCCTAGGCAGGGTTAGGTAGATCACAGAAGGCTTAGGTAACAGGCATGGGGAGGGGGAGTCTGATGTATTTTGTGGGGTGGAGGTTAATTAATTAAACGTGAGGGGATTTACTGGCAAAATAAGGTGAATCATGATTTCTGAGGATACTGAATAGGCCTAATATTTAGTGTACTAATAAGTAAGGCCAAGGCAAGGGGAGCTTTTTTTGTCCAATGTGACCCCTCCACTCCAAGCCCTTTGGTTCCCACTGCCCACTACTAGCTGCATTGAATTTGAACTATGATCTGTTGCAGATATGATTCTGAGAAGAGTGAGCTTGTTAATGATGAGCTTGGTGTTGCTTATCAAATTGCCAATGGCATTCCAAACCTAATTCCAACCGATGGAAGAGTGATCAAGAAAAATAGTGATGACAAATCCGCCACCAAATCTAAATGAATTAATAGTAAGTATTCATGATTCAAGTGCCAGTTCCATGTTGTAATGAACTGACTACGTTTCAACATATATGGTCCATATATGGTCAGCAAACCCCATCCTATCCGAACTATGCATGATGGGGTATAAATGTTTCTCTAAGGCTTTTAATGATGATTTTAAGCGCCAACACTTGGGATTACCATGGTGCATAGCTACTCAAAGTGTATTATTTGGTCATGAATACAGTCAGTGGCAATATAAAAAAAAAAGGATTGGAACTTTCATATACATTTGAGTAACTGAAGTTTAAATTAAATCTTTTTTTTTTTTGTATTTCATACAGGTAGATGAATGTTTGAAATGGAGGCTGGAAAAAATGAGATTTTTGTAACCGCCCCTGGAAAAGTAATCTTGTTTGGAGAGCATGCAGTGGTGTATGGTAAGCCAGCATTGGCGGGCAGCTTAGATCTCTCCACATTTGTGCACGTTTGGCATAAAGATCAAGATATCTGCTTAAGACTGGTTGATTTTAGTATGACTTTACACTGGACAATTAAACAAATGGCCGAGTCTTTTGGAGGATTTATGTGCAAAGATGTGCATGATGTAGCCATGTTTTCAGCAGAGGATATAGAACGCTTGCATTCAAATGCTCAATTATGTGTTCCCGCGGATCAAAGAACTTCTGTTGACATCCCAGCCGTGCTAGTGTTTCTGTATCTATATTCATCGATTGTGGGTTCGAAAGGCATAACACAACTCCTCCCATTGGATGTTGAAGTAGCATCCTGCCTCCCTATTGGTGCTGGTCTTGGTTCGTCAGCATCCTATACAACATGTCTGTCAGCAGCCATGCTGAAAGCTGTGGATGCTATTGGTAAGAAAGGACTGAATAGCAGTGATCTTGAACTTGTGAATCAATGGGCATTCTCAGCTGAGCATATACTGCATGGCAGGCCATCTGGTGTTGATAATGCTGTCAGTGTTTTTGGAGGTCTGATCAACTTCAAGGCTGGAGAAATAACTCCTGTAAAATGTCCAGTCCTAGAAATCCTCCTCATTGATACAAAAGTTAAAAGGGAGACAAAAACCTTGGTTGACAAAGTTCACAAAAGAAAATCAGTATGGCCTGCAGTTGTTCAACCTGTATTGGATGCCATAGGTGCTATCACAGACACAGTTCAACATAATTTCAACTTGGGTAACACTGATTTTAGTGAACTGACGCAGTTAATTGATATGAATCAGGGATTATTATCTACACTTGGGGTATCGCACCCAAAACTTGATGAAATTTGCCACCTAGCAATGCAATATGGTTTCAGTGGTAAACTGACGGGAGCTGGTGGAGGAGGATGTGCATATTGTCTGGTTCCTCCTGGAAGTGTAGGCCTGGAAGAGCTGATGAGAGATTTAAAACAGAAAGGATTTTGTTGCTGGAGAACTAATGTCGGGAGATCTGGAGTGCTGCTCCATAAAAATGTTGAAGAAATGAGACAATCAAAAAATAATATTCCAAAATGCTTTGCAAAGTAAATAGGCCTAATTTCCTAGACATTTAAAGATAGGAAAATATATAAAGACTTTGTTTATGAGATTTCTGTAAACTGCAAGAAACTAATAGAGTATTACGTTATGAATAAATGCCATTCTGCAAATTGGTTTATCTTGCAGTCAGTAGTGGCGCAGGGATTCCTCCATGGGGTCCACACTTACTCAGCTTCACCATACATGGGGCTGAGGTGAGCAAATTTTAAGAATATGTAATTGTGCTCTGAAAATTCCACATGTCAACTCGTATGAAGGACACAGCACATGTAACTCCATTCATTTTAAGACATTTTTATTACCAAATTGGTATAAATACACATTTACAAAGTCATTGCTGACAGTGACGACATACATTAAGTTAGTAATTTATTCATTTTTACTGTATTGAGTTAAATCATGAATTTATTTTCTCCAAGAGAACCTGATTAAAAAAAATTGCTTTTTGGCACACAAACTTTAAATCAAAAGTAATGTATCTGTAAAATGGCTGTTGTTTTATTACAGAGTGTAATTTTAGACATTTGTCATCCACATTCAATATGTGTACATAATAATCAAGAGTTGCAAAGTTTGTGATTTAATAAACACATTATTTTACAGCTCAAAGAGTTTGTTGTGATTATCTGTGATTTCATTGATTGTTTTGTATTGTGCCCTCTGTTCTACTAAGTAAACATTACTGAAACAAATAAACTGCCATGAATTGATAAAATTGTTTTTCCTGTAAAATATCTGTCAGATTCAACAATTGTCCTTCAAAAGTGTGTTGTAAGCCTCTGAACATCCATGATGTCATCAAGAATCTGTCAACAAAACAGAATAAAAATTTTTTTTTTAACTTTAAATTACACTGAATAGGATAGGTTTGGTAAGGTACACTGTACTGCAATCATTTGATCACTGTCACCAGCCTTGGGTTCCAGTCCACTAACTGGCTATTTCTAACTACAGTTCACCCTCCAATTTGAGACCATCTTTGGGGCCTGAAAATTTGGGGTGGTCTCCAAATAGAGGGTTAGTTTTGTGTTGAGGGACTGAAAATTGTTATTTGATTCTTTGAAAAAGTGGTCTCGAATTGGAGGGTGCACTGTATTTGTTTTTTAAATTTTAATTTCAATTTTATTTATTTGTGAGCAGCGACTTGTACCACATGAATACGTTTATAAGTGAGAGAAGATGTGTGTTGTGTAACCAAGTACAATAATATATAAAAAATTGACTGAAAAGAAAGTGAATGTAGTACCTGTTCAACATTTGTACCAATCCGTCTTGCAAGTTCATTTCGTTCAACTACACTTAAATAGTTGAAATGCCAGAGTAGATCTCCATCCACGATGTTCTTACTTGGGTTTATCAGTACTCTCTCATTGTATTTTACATGCCTGCAACAGGAACCATGAACATGTTAGCAAACATTCAACCAGTGGTGGCTCTAGAAATTTACATAAATGGGACCCATATATCCGACAGCAAGGGGGGAGGGGGGAAACTACAGCCTCGGCCAGGGTCCCTGAATAAGAATTCCTGGTAGGGTTCATGGTGAGTTTTTATGGTTTAGTACATGGCCCAAAATTGAGCTTTCAGACAACAATTAGGGATTGGCAGTCAAAATAATGTTATTTGGATAGACATATTGATATTTTTGGTTAGTTGACGGGGGTTCCAGTTCTGTCTGGGTGCCAAAAGCATTCTAAAATGTATGGAGGAGGTTGTGTCTGTTGCCCCCCTAATATTATTTGGCATGCTCCGCATTACATCAACTCAGTTTTATTACAGCAGTCAAATAATCAGGAAATGACAAAAGAAAGATGCATAATAGTATTTGACAAAGTGTTTACCTGTAGGCCTTTGGGTTGAGTCCAGCTGTGTGTGGATAACCTGTTGTTAATGCATTCTGTAACATCAGCATACGTCGGTAGGTTTTTTCAGAGACTGGCATAAGGAATCCCATGGCACCATCAAGTGTGGCTAAATGACAAAAAAAAAATATACCTGTGTTCACAACCTGTGGAAGTGAATGGCGTAGCGTTGTGGCTCGGACTCTTCAACATTGAGGTCGGGGGTTCAAAACTCCTCCTGTGTAAGTCGTTTTTGTCTTTGGCCAAGGTTGTCTTTCTCCACCCTGGAGTATAAGTGGGTACCTAGTGAGGCTTGAATGCTGCATGCACTGATTTAGTTTATGCAGCAAACTATGGTATTTCCCCCATAGGCATTGTTACAATAACTGGGGTAATAATGTGGGAAAGCACTAACTTGTGTAGAGTACTATATAAATACATATATAAATACATATATAAATACATACATATTATTATTATTATAACAAAATCTGTACCAACCAAAGTACGTTATTTGTCTTCTTTCTGACGGTCCTGCTATAAGTTTGTCGCTGGCTGGATCATGTCGTTTACAACTGACGCGCACAAACGTATTCACCTGGCCACCAATATTGATATCAGCTCTACGAAGTAAACGTGTACCTCCATAGCTTTCTGGTGCTACAATAATAGGAAAAACAATTGATATTGCTGTAGATATATAACAAAAGAAAGACACAAAAATGAATACACAACTACTATTGAAGTGGTTATAATTAAAATCACAGAAAGACATACTAATGATATTCATGTTAAAAGTTAACTACTACTAGAATGTGCCACAGTCTTTGCCTGTGTGTGTAAAGGTATATAGGTTACTAAGAGACCATCAACCTTCTCTCACCCTCCCTGTCGGTTCCAAAGGAATGCTTTTAACCAATCAAATGCCTAAAATCGATGTTGTCGGTATATAATATTGTACATACAGGATATAATATTGTCTTTACCTTCTGGTTGATAATGATATATAATCAGATTTTTCTCTGCATCTGACACTAAAGTAAAAAAAAAATCATCAATGATAATAGAGATAATGAGCACTATACATTATATACTGTTATAGTTACAAAGTTTTACTTAAAAAAAAAATCTCTACTACTACTTGCTCAATCATCTATGGTTGCTGTTCAATTTATTAACATTTAACTTATTCTAACCATATTTAATAGAATCGTTGATCATATTTGAAATATTGCTCTAATTCATTTTTTCAAATCTGTCTAATTTTTGTTTTTATTGCGAATATGTTTACGTTTGATCTGAGCAATTTATTAAACCAACTAATAAGCAAATAAAACTTGATACTGTGGAGGACAAATCACACATACACAAATCACACATACACAAATCACACATACATAGCTCAGTCGGCTAATCTGGTGGTAGCCAGTGTGTGCGCTGAACCGTGGAGATCTATAGGTCCCCGGTTCAATTCTCATCGCTGCCTCTCCTTGTGTTTCAGCTAGAAGGCTTAAATACAAGTTACAATAGCGCACCGTCTTTCAGATGAGACTTTTAAGCCGTTGGTCCCATGTGCATTATGGCCTATGTGCACGTTAAAGTCAGGCTCCGGAGGAAAAAAAAATTTTGATATGTTGTAGGACTGATCTTCCTAAGACAGAAAAAGGTTGTTTGACGAAAAACTGGGGAACGGTGAACGAGATACAGATTTTTGAATATTTAAAAACTGGGGGAAAAGGTATAAAAATGGGCGGTTACGCCCCTTTTTCCCCCAGTTTTTAAATATTAAAAAATCTGTATCTCATTCACCATTGCTCAGTTTTTCGTCAAACAACTTTTTTCTGTCTCAGAAAAATCAGTTCTACAACATATCAATATTTTTTTTCCTCTGGAGCCTGACTTTAAAGAACGCAGTACACTCTTCGGAAAAGAGTAGTGGATTGCCTTCCGGTGTACTGCCCAATCACCACCAGAAGGACCTCACTGGAAATAAGTCTTCTTCTAGACTTTCGTGGGCTATCCTTGGTGTTTACACTGAATAAATTCAATCAATCAATCTACACAAATCACACATACTTGTCACTCTTGTGGACACAGCTGAACTTACCAAGGAAGGCCAGCTGCCTATCATCAATCATAAACTGAGCAGCATATATCCTTAAAGGCCTGGTGTCCTGAAAATCAAACACGAAATATTATTTATGTAGGCCTACAAAAGTACGTAAAATTCAATACACTTATGGATATACCCTGCCCAAAATATATACCAAATAAATGCTACTTCCTCTAATTACACTCATCAGTTGTACTGGATAGAGCAACACTTAATAAACTAAAGTCTATGAAACTTGCAGTGTCATTCTTTGTTGTGAAAAAAAAAACAGTTGTTTGCAGAAGTATGCATATATTGCTTGCTGCCTTGACTCAGCATAATATAACATGTCCTGCAAGATTTATAATAAACCTTGGTGGAGCAGTCCATTGTTTCCTTACAGACTGAATTACCCAGGATAAGAATAAATCAATAAACTAATGAGCACTTACCCTGCTGACAAGAGCTAGTGTCCTGTCCTCTTCCTGGTATTGTAAGAGGAACAGGCTCTTTGTGATGTCAGTGACAATAACGAAGTTCTTGATACTAAGAGCCCTGTGGATGTACACCTGAGTGTCTATGAAGGCTAGGCCAATCAGGTCATTGTCTTTAAATGTCCATAAGTAAATCTATGGGAGAGAGGAGAAAACAATATCAACATTCATGAAAAAATTGTAAACAAGCTATAGACAACAGACGAAGACTTGATGATGTATGATTCTTCTATATTCAACAAGTAACCCTCATAAGTTTTTTGGAGACAGCCAACCAGTGGTTTTACCTCAAAAACCATATTTTTTTACACATGGTGTACCGAAAGTTTGATGATCTTGTTATTAATAATTACCATCAAACTTTCAAGAAATATTAATTTGTTTTAGCTAGATAGGTAAACTACTTATAAAATAATACATACCTTCTGACCAATACACGACAACAGGAATCCACACACATCACAGATACAGCTTACAGGTCCTTTCTGTTCCTTATCATACAGAGTCTGTGAGAGAAATCAAACCATTACTAATACCATTATTCTTAAAATAATTTTTAAGAATGCTGGACTATCAGAGTGAATTTTATGGGGATATTTTAAATGTCAACGTTTACGTGTACCTGATGGGAGTCCTCTACCTTCCAGTGGCCAATCCATTATCACTTCAATCTTACAAACTACATTTTTAATAACCCCACAAAACAATTGTTAAACGCATGGCCGTTCTGTGGCAAAACAACGTAACTTGAAATTTTCACTTTTTGCATGTTTGCAACTTGGTAATAAATTGTCGTAGCCTTTTGAAATTTTACATGATTGTATATCTATATATATTGTGATTATATGTGAAATTTTAATTACAACCATTTGTTTATTGCAAAGTTATTAACGATATTCACAGATACGTTGTTTTGCTTCGGAAACATGTCAGATTCAGTGTTGTTGCAAATAGGACATATTTTGGGAATTTATCACACGTTGCTGTTAAGATTATTGATATGGAAACACCAATAACCAGTTGATTTCACCTTACCAAACTCCATCAGCTCAAAACAATTTTTGAATACCATTCCGAGGCAAAACAACGTATCTTCATCGTAGATACAGTACGTTGTTTTGCCCCGTAATCTTGTAGTTACGTTACTTTACCACGGAAAATCACTAGATTTTAAGTTTTGTGGTTAAAGATATTTGGTGCTACCTCCGAAACGACTCATTGTTAAGACCTGAAATTTTCACAGGTAATTCAGATGTGCTTAATATACTCCCAAATGATATTATCTCAAAATCGACAAAAATGTTAGTTACGTTGTTTTGCCCTGGGACGGCCGCGCAGAGAAAGCTTACCTTCATTTTGTTCTTTGTGAGTGGCTGTCCTGGTTCTGGTACTACTTCAATAATATCAAGGATAAATATCTGCAATAATAAAAGACAGTTGAAATGAAGTTGCCTCTTATATATTAAGTACAATACAGCAAACAAGACACATACAGAATATATGAGGCATGTTGTGGCAAAATGGCTAAGTTGTAGCAAAAATTGAAATTCAAGTTATTGGTATTTTCAGATACCTGAGTATGTGATCTTTAAAATGAGGGGGTCATTCATTGAAATTGGACATTTCAAGCCTAAGTTATTGGAGAGTGAAAGTACAGCACTCTAAGAGAGTCCAGATAAATTGATTTTGAGTAATTGCCTTTCAAAGTTATTTGTGCATACGTTGTTTAATAGAATTAACTATCAAAATAACGTTAAATAAACGATTCGTTGCCATTTCCGGAACTAATACTTTGGGGCATGATTAATAAGACATTAAACTATTGATCTGTAGTGAAAAACAAATTTAGATTTTTAGGCAATTTTTTGAGCTCCCATATTTATTTTATAGCTCATTTACTCAATACTGGCCTGTGCAACAACTTAACCATTTCGCCATGACGTGCCTCATTTACTCTCTACTTTTAAGATTAAAAATGGGATTGTAAGAGAAGGTTACAATATAGTTTTTCATATATTTTTATTCAAATGTTTGTATTGACAGAAGTCAACAACACTTACTCTTCCTCTACATTGGATATCTTCATTGTAAACATAAGTGGTTGTCATGACAATGTAGTCTTTCTTTCCAGACACTGTGCCTTCGCAGTTCAAACTGACTGCTTTAAGGCAAGTAATATGCTCGAATTCCTCCATTTCAATTCTAAAGAAAAAAAACTTCATAAACAATAACTAAGGAAATATATATCGATGCATGCTAAAATAAATATAACTAACTTGGATTATATTAGTATTAGTAAAGTTATCAACTGGCATGCACAGGAAAAACGTACTTTGTATTTGGTATTGGTTCCCAGCTCAAAGGGGAAAATAACTGAATTGAAAATGAGTCTCTTGTAGGGAAGATGAAACGATCATCTGAAATAAAAAAACGCCAAAAATATATTAAATTATGATACAAATTCACTTCTGTTAAAAACATATTAGAACTTAAAAGCAGTGAGCTCTGACCTCTGTCTGGTATACTGATTTCTCGTTCATCATTATTGATGACAACCATCTTGATTGTAGTTTCAATTGTGCTGGTTACTACAGCATAGGTCTATATGAGATGGAAAGAAAAATTCACCAAGATTATCAACCAAAAAAATAAAGTTAAAATTAGGATAAGAAAATCAAATTTTGGGAAATCAGTGGATTTACCAAAAAAACAAAAAAAACCTTACAACTAAGGAATGAAAGACAGAAAACTCACTTTGCTTTCAAGATGGTAAGCAACAAAATTAGGTGTACATCTCAGTGGGACTTTACGCACAGGCCAAGGTGCATCGTAGGAAAGGTGAGAGGGCAGCACACAGATTCTCAAATCACCCTATAAAAAAGACCAAGATTCATCACATGATGGTAAGGCATCAAGAGTGGGTTCAGAGTGTACAACTCAGTACTGACTACAATATTGCCACTAGAACCCCACTTGAAGTAAGATGGTAAGGTGTCAAGAGTGGGCTCAGAGCATACACCTCAGTAATGACTTCACACTTGACTTATTTATTTAAATCTACAATGAAGAGAAATTGAAAAGGGGAGTAGAATTATGTAGCAGCCTTTTGGTAGTTATTTCATTCTTATGATCAATTCGTGTGTTCTCAAATTGTATGACTTTTATGGCACTTGATTCACATGCGCCATTTTATTAGATGCATGACCTCTATTCGCATCATACCTGTTTGTTGAAATACAAGAAGCCGTTTGGACAGTTAACGTTATTAAATGCTGCAAAGCAAGTGACGGCACCATCAACCGGCATGGGATGCATCCGCAAGGAACCACGAGCTGTGACAAACAACCAATGTGGATATGGACCACAGATAAAAACCTAAAAGACACATACAGAAATGGTGAATGTATTAGTAAAATCTTTATACATTCAAAATCATTAATTAATATCCAGACTCTGTAATTTCTCATTGATATTCATATTTTGATATAAATAATAAACAATTTATGAATATTTGTGTTATCAACAGACCCAATGCTGTCATCACTCTAGCTGAATACCAATTTTTTCAATCATCATCATTGCTGTTGTCAACTGAATTGTTATCACCACCTCAATACCAATATTGTTATATGTCTGCCTTGCCCTTCAACTCACCCCAGAATAAAAGGATGAGGAAACACCTGCAAATGTCCTCAATCGGTTGGTCTTCCTATGTTGCACAGCTTCTTCTTCATCCTGTGCTTTCTGTCCTCTCTTTTTTGACTTCTTTTCTTTCATCATCATTGAGTGAGGGAGCTTTTTCAACCAACCAATAAATCAAATATATTTGTTTTTATATTTTTGAATAAAATCAACAGCAAATGTAAACAATGTGAATGAACCAAATTTCCACAAACAGAATATAAATTTGCATTATTTTATGTACAGAACAAAATAGTCAGATATTTTGTGAACACTTATTTCTTTGCACCAGAAACCAATTTGATTGATACTTTTGACATTTTTATTTTTACATATATATCTATCTATCAATCTATATCTATATTGTTATAATTTAACCATCCTGTAAGTGGCGATTTAACATTGTTGATGTAGTAATAAATAAATAAATCAGTTATATATAAATAAGTTATATTATTGGTAAGCTTTGACATACCTTCTTGAATCTGATTTGTAACCTCTCTTGATCTGAATGTGCTTGATAACTAAAGGCTTCATATATGATGAGGTCATCATCAACAATTGCCTGCCAAAGAACAGCAAATTATTATTGGTTGGAGAGGCTGACACAGCAGTTTTGATCCAGGCCTGGGATTTATTAATCTCAGCTAAGCAAATGTCTTAAGTCAAAAAGTTAAGATGTCCCTAATAAATATCTTAAGCTGATTTATTACCCAATCTTAGCAAAATCTTGGCTGAAAAATCGTCTCAGATGGCGCCAACGTACAATCGACTATCTAATTTTAAGCAATTTTTAAGCTAAGCAATATAAATTTGACTTTAGCAAAAAAATGGACTTAAGATGAATTTAAGTTGATTTCTAGTTTGATAAATCTGGCCCCAGGTTCTTAAATATGTGGTCGGTGGTTCAATAATGAATGATGACCAAAACATGTTGGCATGTCAAAATTATTGAAATATGTTTTATATTTCAATCCACATATTTTGATGATAAAAAACAATATTTTTTAATAATTTGATTATGGTCTCTGCATGAGAAATGGCCAAAATCATAAACTTAGAATTCTGATTTCTCAAATAATGTATGATGTATGTTTAAACAAATTGATAGAGTTATTTTTTTTTCTTTTAAAATTTATAACTTTAATTTTACTGCTTAACCCTGTATAAATAACTAAAAATCGATTTTTGCGAAGAGTGACTGGTTTGGCTTGTCTTTGCCACAAATAATAAAAAAGAAATATACTTTAACTAAGATTTAAATAAATTACTTACAAACAAGTACGGTCTGCTATTTCCCTTGCCAAGTCCAGTTATCATAATCTCCTTCACTACTGGTAACATATCATGCTGTTGCTGGGCCTGCTCACTAGAAAAACAATATAGATACTAACAATATCTGGTAGAATATTTTACCAGGTCTGTGTAAAAGTTGACCCAGAATATGTCAACCCCCAAGTTCAATTTAATTAGAACTGTATACAGTTAAACATGTCGAATAATTTCTAAGTCGAATAATTTCTAAGTCGATCTAATTTTGACATGCCACATTGCTGTGTTTTTCATTATTTAACAATCTGCAAGTCAAATTTTATCAAAGATAAACAACATTTCAATGGCATTTTGGATTCAACTTAGGCGAGTTCAACTGTATCTACAATGACGTACTGAAAGGGTGGACTTGGTGTGTGCTTACCTTGTGGTGACCATAGGACTGTCCACTAGTACCTTGCCAGCCATTGGGAAGTTTCTGGCTACAAACATACACACAAAATCAGGTAAGCTGTAGATCTAGACACAGGTAAGATAAAGAGTTAGCGGCAAAACATTATTATAACATTGTGAATCTGTTGGACAGAGCCCTCCCTAATGTTGAAATATCCAATCAATATTACCATGTTTAATCCAGTGTCCGCAGTTTTGATGTGAAGTGCATAAAGGGCTTATCATAATGCGCTATATAAGTCTACCATTATTATTGTTATTATTATTACAATTGTTATTATTATTATTATTATTACTACTAATATCATCATTATATTGTATGTTCCTACCTCAAGCAACCCATTTTCTCTACACACAAGACACCAGTAGCTGAGGTCAACAACCTCTTCTTGGACCTCATCTGCTGGCTTGCTGCTAAAATAATTACAACAAATATAAATTGTAAGTAAATGAACTTTATTTTAAAAATTCAATCACAAGTACTTTGATTTTACCCTAATTTGACATCAACTTAATGAAATACAAAAGTAAATATTATATCTTGGATACAAATACTAATTGTCCCACCACAAGATTTGTTTCTCTTATCTTCTTCGGTTTTGCTTTCTTCCTGTCACTTGTTTATTAAATTTACACAATTAATTTTTTTACATTTACTCTATATTTATAAGAAAATTGTGTTGTATTGTACATTTTTGTTCAAAAAGGAATAAATAAATGTCAAGTTGAATTGAATTGAATACTTACAAATATTGTAAATAACTTTTTTAAGGGTTTGACTGGGAAATTCCTCAGAAATTGGGTAATACGATGTTCAGACACAAGTACATAATAAAAACAACTTAGTCATTTACCTGGTTTCCATGGTCTCGGTCAACTCGGCGGGTTTAAATATCGTTGGTTCAGAATCACCATACAATAACTCATCCTCTTCATCAACAGTTGGCCTATCATTCACAAAAACAAACCAATTATGTTTAGTAAATTATAAAAAAGTTCATGTAATGCACTATATATAAACTGACAATCATCATTAATATTAATATATCAATTTCCATGTTATTACTAATACCTTGCTTCACTAATGACTGTATCTGATTTTTTTCTCTCATTTTTCTTCACTACACCTTTCTTCACATTGCATTTGGTAGTGAACATACCACCCTCATTGACATATGCACTCAGAGCTAAAATCTTTGACGTCTGAAAAAAAAAAAAAAAATTTTTCATCGATTTGAATTATTTCTCCTGACACAAAATGCCATTGGAATAGCATTGCAGTACCCACTGCTACTTGGGGGTTAGATTCATCACCAGCCACCAAACGCAAGCTTAGTGGCCGAGTGGTTAAGACACCAGGCTAGTTAACTGGAGGTTGTGGGTTTGATAACAACTCCCCCCCCCCCAAAAAAAAACAAAAAAAATAACTTGCAAGATTTTTTTTCACAAGCATTTGGGGGACGTACTGAGCATTCAGTACTACAACACATCAGGTAGGGCAAAGATTGATTCGTAAAATAAATAATGATAATAGTAATAACAGTTAATATAAATAATGTTAACAGAAATATGACAAAAATAATAAGCAATAATACATTAATATAAGTAAGTACGTAAAGGTTTTCCCATATTCACTAATGAATATAGAGGAATGAGCTGTTAGAAGCCCATTACACTAAGCCTTTCCATGGCTTATAAATAAATAAATGAATAAATATGCAAATGAGTAAGCTGTGAGATGAGTACCTGAGGTATCTCTGGTTTGAGTATGCTGAGTCTGTGACCTGTCCCATGTGGATCCTCCTTGAGGCTGAGCAGTATGATATGCCCACTCTCACTCATAATCACAATAAAAGGATCAGCAACTGAGCACAGCATGATGGGAGAGCCAACATCCAAGGGAATATGCTGCAGCTGATTGGCTGAAAGAAAAAATAATATTTACGAATTTAGTTTCCTGTGACTAGGGAAAATTTTTTTCAGTGCCAGCCACTGCTCTTCTGAAGGGACCTAAATACACTGTAATAATTCAAAATATTAAAAAACTATCTAATATATCTTTAAATGGTCATCGTGAAGGAATACAAATGTGCTGATGGTGAAAAAATACATATAGGTCATACTTCTTTTAAAATAGTTTTACTTATTCCCTTCAAAATGGATACTATCATTAGCCCCCATACAAATAGACAACATTAATTTCACTTTCAAATTAATAACTTACTTACCCCCTTCTAATAGTCTAACCCCCATCTGAGAAACCTGCAAAATATATCTGTTGTTGCCCAGGTTACCAGCATAAACAGTTGGACCTTGGGTGCTAAAGCCACTTTGATCTAGCTCTGTGATTTCTTGACCAGTTTGAAGAATCTAGGCAAAAACAATTTGAAATTATTAAAAATAAATCAATTGATTAATAAATTACAGTAAGACGTCCATTTACGTACCCTTGGTAGCAAAGGGTGTTCGTAAATTGAAAAATTTGTAAACTAGATCAGGTGTCAATTTCCAATACCTAACTATCCCCTGCCATATAGCAACGATAGGCTGACGGTGACCAGGCCTAGCACGAACCAACAGTGCAGCATCATGGTCTAATATGCTAGAGCCAAGCTGAATTTACCTTTGATAAAAACCAAATTATTTTAATTGCTGGCATTCTTCTACTTAACAAAATATTATTTCTTATTCAACATCTATATGTTTTGTGGACCTTTCTATCATGTTTTTTCTAGCTGTTAGATCATGAATTGTGTTGTGCAATTTCGCAATCATATCTAGCATTCAATCAATCAATCAATCAATCAATCATTTTATTTCCAATTCAAAGAATTTACAACAGATAAGTAGTAAACATTGAAAATCAAAATCAAAGGAATTGGAAAAAGGCAAACATAACAAGAAGAACTTTAAGAATGTAGCCCAAATAATAATAAGAATAACAATAACAATAATAATAATAATAATAATAATAATAATAATAATGATAATAACAACAATAACAATACATCAATAACAATAATAACAAAAATAATAAAGTAATAATAATAATATACACGAATGTTATAGAAATATTTCAATTAAGTGAATCAATAAATTTCAATAATTTTCTGACCCCAACACTCTTGTTTGTCATCTTAAACATTCGTAAAATGGACGTTCCTATAATGGATGTTTTACTGTAATTGAATACTCAATCTATTTCTGAAGAATTGATTCATGAAATGTAATATTTGATGTTTATGCTTTTAAAAGTATTATCATTATTAAATAGCAATTTTGCAGATTAAAGTGAAGTGTCTACATACCATTGTTGAGTCTAACCTGCTGAGTATCAGGAATGAATGACTTATTTCACTCTCAGTTTGTGTCTTACTACCCGACTGGCTTTCTGAACCCTCTTCCTCATTTGCCTTAGTTATAAAATAAAAAAAAAAAAAGATTAACGTAACATAAATATATTTAGTATATCAAACAAGTATTCAGGGATGGATTTTAAGAACAGAGGGAAGAAGTTGTGCGGCAAATTTTAGAAATGGAAAAATTAGCAGACTCCCTGTTCCTACTTTGCACTTGCTACTTCTAATATTAATTTGGTTTTTGTTTTATTAAATATTTGATAGTTCAAGAAATGTGAAACCATGAGAAAAAGACAGCACTGATACCTTAATGGGTTCTTTCCGACCAATCACAGTCCACATATCTAAGCATCCTGGGAGTTCAAATGTTGTCACAACTTGCGGTCGGATGGTACGCTAAAATAATAGATGTATATATATTAATGAGTTGTGGCATAAAAACTCTGCTGGTATCTGTTTTAATGCACTTAGAGCTTATTGAAAGAGAAGCATTGTGCATGGGTTTTAGAGTGATAACATATAAATTAAACACAACAAGCTTACTCTTAACACAGACAAAGCTCCATTTTTGCCATATCCCGAACAAATCACTAACTCTATGTCAGGATCTGGGTTGTTTTGAAACTAGGAAAAAAAACAAAAAACAGGATTGGTTAGACAAGTACTACAAGGAAAGAAACCAATAACATTTCTCTTGAAGCACTTTAAACCTTTTATGCATTAAAAGTGCTAGATAAACAATTTCAATTTGGTTACACAACAAATCAGTACATATTAAATGTAAATAAAAATATTATGAATGCTCACCTCCTCAGAAAGAAATGCAGGTTCCCCCATCACCATGCATCCACAAGGTCCAATGTTGAGAAGACTGTCAGAAACCTAATCAAGTAATAAGAAAATAATCATTAATATTCAATTTAAGTTTTCTTTTAATAAATATAAATGAAGTCTCACTAGGCAGACATGGAATGCAGAAAATCCAATGGAATTCTTTCATACCTCAAATGTATAACTTTTAACTTGTGTGCCAGTTTTCTGAGCTTGCTTTCCATATACCTCCAGCTCATCAGGATCTTCAAGCAAGCTGACATCAGATGCTGAAATCAAGTTAAAATTACAATCTCCATATGGTTTAGTTGTATTATATACACAACATTTGTTTACATGCGTTTTTTACTCTTTTCAATAGCACTATCAATCGACCAACATCTACTAAAAACTCATCTTTACAAATTACTCATGATAATCTTCATATTAAATGTGAAGCGGAATATGTTGCTTTAATATCAAGCCACAGGAAACAATAGTTCCTAAAAACTTAATAATTGGCAATTGGTATTGGTAATTGGCAATTGGTATTGGTAATTGGAAATATAAGGTCCTTCCTGGGAAAATAATGCATGTGGGAATATAAGATCCTGTTAAAATAATACTATAAGAAACCTGGCAATAAAAAACCACTTGTAATATCTGGTATGGGTATTTACTTCTTCAAAAGGTTTAGGAAGCGTATTAAACTTACCAATCCAGTCACTAGCATCCTCACCCCTGACCTTCTTAGTAGGTGGTTCCCCCTGTAGCATAAACAAAGAAATGATGCAATGTACACCATAACTCTTGTTATTTTGAGTACCTCACAGAAAGTACAATATACATACAGCATAGTAGCTCACACCTTTCCACAAGTTTTCTTGCTTGCAGGACTAAAATTATGTTCACACTATCAAGATACTGTACCTGTGACAAATATCTGATTTAGTGACAAGTATTTGTCACATGAAGTGTGACAGTCTGGACAGAGCCTTTACTGAGACTTGTCTTTGTCTATTTGACCTTTAACCTTGAAGCCTCCTAGTTTTAAAAAGTTTAACAGAGAAAATGCAATGATGTTCTAGAAACTGAGAGGGTTATGTATAAGAGTTATTATTAGTATAAACTTACATCTTTCTTTTCTTTCTTGACATTATCTATAAATAAAAAAGAGACATATTGTGGTTTGTTTAGTAGTTTAAAAAAACATTTATGGAACATCATATAAAGAAATGTCCTACACACCCAACAAGCTGCAAAACTTGTCAATTACAGAGTTGGAATTTATGAAGCACAAGGCCTTTATGAATTTATGAAGCACAAGGCCTTTATGAATTTTGCTAACAAATCTTTAGGGAGATCAGTTAATTATAACTGAAGATAGGTCTACATCTGTGTCTGATAGCCTACTCACCCTCTGTCTGGGCTTTTTCTGTATATTTAAGAAGCAGTGAATTCCCAAGTCTGGAGCCAAGAAATAGATAGCCTTCCTCCATTTTACATATCTAATGAAAGTAAGATAATTAAAATTTTATGAAAATAAAAAGCAAGCCATAATACTTTTACTCACAACCTTGGCAATAGGAAGTAAATTCCAGTAAATATCCCATCATTTTAAACATTTGTGAAGAATATGAATATATTAAAAAGTCAATTTTTATTTTTTGGTCACTCACTGGTGCTGGTTTTGGGATGGCAAGCCTCAAAATCTATACAATAGTTGGACAGGATGTTCATATTACAAACAGGATGAATTTATGAAACATAAAGAACACAATAAAACACTTACACAGGTTGTGAGTACGCTGGCTGCTGCTCTATCAAAGTGAAACCCTCTTACACTTCTCATTCCATCAATCATCAGAGTCAACACATAGCTAAAAAATGACATTAAATAATTAATACGATAAATATAATGCACATAAAATTTATTACAATTAAAAATACATAAATAATATATAATTATTATTTTTTTTAATGAATAAATTAATTATAATATAACAATTCAAATAATGAAATAAAGAAACCGAAAGATAAGAAAGTATAATACATACTCCAAGTATTGAAATGCACGCCATCGTGTTGGGACTCAATATTACATTAAATATGCCATCATCAGGAATGAGTGAATTTATCTAATCTGAATGTTGGATTAGTTAAGTTTAAAGATCAAGCCTCGGAACGCATGTAAATTACCCTAGTTAAAAGCCTGTGTCGATTCTTCAAAATCTATAAGATACAAAATAACTTACATCTCTCCCCCTTTGAGTGACAGGACCAACTTATCAAAACTAATGAAAGTAACTTGACAGCAGTCCAATGTTAGCTTCACTCCTTCTTGCCTTTCTACAAAATTATGACAAATAATATCCTTCATTCTCACATGTTATTTACTTTAGTGTCAATCAAAACACACCATTATTAGCATCATAAAATCATCACCCCCATTCTACCACCACATCAAAAATCACCATCTCCATTTAACATTCATTATTATAATTATTCATCATAATCTTCATATTCACCATCAACATCATCACCATCTCCATCACAATCAACATTAACAACATTGTCATCATCATTATAGTCATTGTGATTTCTACCCTCAACATCCTTTTAATTTCAATGAATTACCTTCCACAACATTTTTACTTAGTATCTACAGTACTTACTGAGTGGAAATGAAGTTGATTTGTCAGTCAAAGAGTTCAAAGACACACCGAACGGAGGGACACTTTGATTAAGGTACAACAGTGAGTTGACAGCGAGGATCAAAACACCACCTACGAGGAATCAGAATTATTTAAAAAAAAACTTATAAAAAAAAATGTATTAGTAACAATAAAAATAGTATCAATAACAACACATTATTGACTTGGTAATTAGGAACTGGAGCGAGAATTTCAAAGTATGCATAAAAAATTAGCATAGATTTTTATTCTCTAAATACTGTACATACAAGCCTTAAACATTAACTATCATTAATGGGACACCTTTTCATAATAGAAAAAATAAATTGTATCTTAAAAATACTTATCTTTAATTACAATAAGGTAGCTAAAAAATTTGCATATATGCATGGGATTATAATTTCTTTACAGAATACAATAGTTTGGTTCACTGAAGGTACTTTCAGCAAAAATAAAATCCTACGAGTAGAAATCTTACCAATAGGTTTTGGAACGGCTTGTATCTGGATACAATCAAAAGGCAGGTTACTCTGAGCCCAAATGACAGGATGAACTCGCTCAGCGATGTTGAGAGACAATGCAACTATTCCACAGGTGTCATTACGCACAGCAATACGTCTAGAGCGAAAAATCAGCATTTATTATTATTAAAATGTAATTAGATTAATTTCAAATTCATACAAAATTGTTAATATGTTATTGTCTTTTGAGCTACGAGTAACCATTGGGATCCAAGCCCAAGGTTCTCAAACTACAGTATGTTATGTTGGTAACATTCTGTAACATTATAAGACTGCATTGCAAGTATGAATTTCACTGGCTATCCTGGTTTTAATATCAATTTTATAATCTTTTATGTGTTTGTATCAAATTTAATTTCTTATACTTCCACAAAGACAAATTTGCCTTCATTTCTTACTTAATTAATTATAGAATCAATAAAGTTTTGTAACCACTTACCCTGGGCAAGTACGAAGAGGTTCGTGAAGGACAAGCAACGTTGGTTCATAGTAGCCATGCAGGAACTGGATGTCAATCACATGCAAGATTTTTTCATCCAATTGGCTTAAGTCTATCATGTAGGTTGGCTGTACTGCTGATCGACTAGACAGAAAGAAATTGAATAACGAAACCTTTAATTTTGTGTTACAGCATACATATGTTCTCAATGTGCAATATAAATGGTGGGTGGATGTGTTCTTCTCCCTTCCTTTCAATCAGCCACATTATAACCTAAATATGAAACTCCATCACATCAAGATTCAATTATTTAATGAAAAATTATCTGCAGTCACAAAAATTTTACAATCACATATAAAAACAATCAAAATTACATTTTAAATAAATAACGCCGTCTTCTAAATCTAGTTAAATTAAGAAAATTTTAAAATCAAGAGCTGCCTTAATATCTGTAGAAGTTATTAGTTGGATCAAGGGACAGGTCATTAGCAAGACTAAAGAGCATATGGCAAGAACGAAGATAGAAGACCAGAAGTTCGAGCAGGGAAAGGATTAAAGAAAGAATGGCAAAAATGATGCAATGAAGCTGAGCATGAGCGATGAAGGGAGAGAGAAACATGTAATGGGTGATCTGGGCAGGGCTCTGGATAATTAATATAAAACCTAATGTGTAACACCTCTGAGGAAATCAAATAAATCACTATTAAATTATCAAAAGTTGGCATACCTCTCAGTGATAAAGTCGGCATCATCAATCATGCCCTCCTTCCTAAACGGAACAATGACCAACTTACTCGAGTAAATAAGCATCGCTGCGCATCGATTCTCAGGATCCACACAAACTTCTGGAATTGTGGACCGGCTACAGTATCCCTCCTGTAAACACAACAAAATAGAGAGCATAGGATTTTAACCTCTGACCTCAAGTTTCACATTGGAGCTACAACCTTTGAACCATAAGATAAGAGGATTCTTTACCGTTATTTAAAAAAACACATATTAAATACAAAACATATACACATATACAATTTTAACTGTACAAAATAGATAAAAAATATACATCATAATTAACATGCTATTTACCTTTAAGTCATTTTCTTCAAAGTAATGCATTGACAGTGTTTTAAGGTCATGAGTTCCAGGATCATACTCCAGAAGAGACAACTACAAAAAGGAAAAGAAAACTGACTTTTGTTGGTTTTGAACTTTTGAAAGTATAAATAATGTTGTTGTAAATTTGACTAAAATGCTTCTTCCTAAAGAAGAATTAAAGCACACAGCAACTTACTTTAGCCTCACTGAAGCTAATGAGTACAGAATCCCTCGAAGATCCTGATAACTGCACTGACTTGATGGACATAATACTTCCAAACATTGGGAAGGTTTGCAAATGTTCTATCCTATCTTTCCTTGGCTTTGACTCTGAAAAGAAAACATTAAAGGACATCATTGTCAGTACCAAAAAGAACCAACATTGTACAGTATATACTATAATAATTTTTTAAAAAGCAAACAAATATTATCAGATTTCATTAGTTAAAAGGGTATTGAAGTATTTAATATAAATCATCTTCTCGCAGACATTTGTCCCCATCAGTTAGCAACAATTATTAAACTTAATAAATTGCTTGCAATACATCTGTGAGTTAATGATATACTCAACATATTTATATATTCCCCTCTTTCATTTATCTTATTTATTGATATTTAATGCAATGTTATTTATAACAAATTTGGATTTTTATTTGTTCATACCTGCAGCTGTTTCAACATTCTTTGAAACTTCATTTTCCTGGGAAAAAATGAATGAAAAAAAAAAATGCATTTAAACATTAATGATTTAAATAGAGCATTATTCTATTTAAACCTAATAAGTGGGTGTATAAATGGCGCTGCTCTCGGTGGCTGACGCTAGTTGTACCTTTTTTCTTCTTATGATATTATTTAAATTGTATATGCAAACTATATTTAACACAGGTTAGGGTTAGGATGTGCAACTGTTACAATCACATCCAGATATCATAACAACATCAACATTGTATAATTAGTTACCACACTACTAATTAATAATACATCAAATATAAATTGAAGTACATATTAATAGTTTTAAAGTGTCAGTAACACTTGGAAAGCTGACATCAATTTTTGTAGTCGACACACAAAGGAAAAATTGAAATACTTAATTATTGGTAAAAAAAGCTACTAAATTAGAAGTTTTTGCTATTTGTGTGTTTTTTTCTGTACATTTGGGAGTACAGTATTTGACAAAGGAGACCCAGAGATTGTATGAAAATTTGGGAGATTCCTGATCGAACGTATGTCCTTTGTACCTGTGTGTCCTTGGAAAGTCTGTACACATGAAGTTGGTTTGTGTCAGCAATCAGCAAGTTCTCTTCATCTCTGTTATAAAAGTTGCAATAAATGCAATGCTCTATGCCCGTTGGTGGGTGTGTTTGCTTGTACATAGCATACATTGTAACTGGTTTAGATGTTACACATATCAAACTGTTGAAGATGATTGAAAGGTAGAATAATAATTAAAATAAAAACATATTATATGAATGTACAGTATATACAATAATAAATGTTTAACTTTAGGTAATGCCCACTTACAAACTGACAAGAAATATTTGATGAGTGGAATGAAAAATTGGAAACAAAATTTTATATAGTCTTGTTTCTAAATTTTTACTCAATTGATCAGTAACAAACAAAGGTAGCTTATATTATTATATGTATTTATTATTTTATATGTTTATTTATACAAACAAGATACAAGAAATTTTATTAGTCTTCATATAAAAACATACAAAGAAATTTAGGTTGTACAGCTTCAGAATTAAAACACAAATATTTAAAAAAGACAAAAGTCAAATTGCAAAAAACATAAAGTGCACCAAGAACAGCAAGACCAGTAAAACAGTAAATATTAAAACTTGTAAAAACAAATGCAATCTAAGGTTAAAAGAGTTTAAATTCAGTGTTTAAAATGGTGGTAAAATTTGATTTAAAATGGTTAAACATTTGTTTCTGATAACTTTAGAGTTATGCATGTGAATAGAGTTTGGCACAAATGAGTTTCTGTAACGACATCGCAGTGTACGTGGTGGCCAGTGGCGGCTTGAGGATATATTTTCTGGGGGGGGGGTGCTAAGTTGCCCGACAGGGGGAACTTGAGCTCATAGGCTCGAGCTTGGAGAAGGGGTTGAGAGGGGGTTCCCCTCCCACCCCCTCCCAAATGAGATTTTTTTAAAAGAATATCAATCTCTAGATGGCCGAAAATGGCACTCTCAGACTGTGACAGACATGTGTTGGCTTGGTGTGGGCATATTTTTATATGTTTTATGGTCTGACTGCCCGAAGAGCTCTGTCCGGCAGGGGGCTTGACCTTTTCGGTGGGGGGCTTAAGCCCCCCTGCCACCCCGCTGGCGCTGCCACTGGTGGTGGCACAGTTTGATTCCAGATCTGTTGAAGCTATAACTGTGTAGGATCATTCATAATTTTATGTACTTTAAGGGCAACATGTTTTTCATAAATTTCAGACATAAGATTTTTTTATTAGTTGAACTATTTTCTTTGACCTATCAATCTTATATTTTCATTTTTTCATGATTTCCAAAAAAAAAAAAACAAACCAATAATTTGAAGCACAGACCACTTTTGATTATTGCTTGATAAAATAAATAGCATTATTTTGCTGACACTCTCAGTTCTTTTCGTTTTCTTAAGAAATAAATTCTCAGACTAGCTTTGCTAGCTAGTAATTGCGAACTTGTATTTCATTTTACTTTTAGTTAAAATTTGGCCTTATTTTCCGAAATGCTCGGATGGATTTCTAGGACAAATTTTTGCACAGAGGATATAGTCCTTGCGTAGGCCTTTTTAAAGCCCCATTCCCGGCAAAATTTCAGTTCTTAAGAAAAATCTAATTTTTGTATAATGTTATAAAGATTTATAAATATAATACGGAATTGCTAGTTTGAAAAAAATGTAAAATAAGACTGAAATTTGATTTTTTGTGTTCCACACAAAAAATAAATGCGGATGAATTTTTCATTTTGATTTTGCGATAGGTCGT